TTCCTACATGTAAGTCACATCACCAGGTACAACACAGTATGCATGTACATGTACACAGGCTCCAAATAGGCTGTATATACGTATGTGCATGGACCCTAGGACAATAACTCGGGCCCTGATAATGATATAATTTCATATTAGGTAAATACATGACATGTACATCTTTTAAAGCTTTTGTCTACATTTAATAACATATTGAAAGTTGTATTTTAAAGTTTGTATTAGCCCCCCCAAGCCCCAGCAGTTTACTATTAACCTGTGACTAGGGGGCCCCTTTATTTGGGGGCCTAGTGCTAATTCCCCCTTGCCCCCTCCTATTGGTAGTCATGCATGATGTACATGTGACTAGTAACGTGTTATCTTGTAATATTTTTATGTAGAAATGTTCAGCTAATGGTACAGGATGTGGTGTTTGTCATTCAAGGGATCTGTTGTTCAGGTTTAGTGAAGATGTGGTTACATGTCCTAACTGCTCCTCACACTTTCACTGGTAAATACATGTACATGTACATAATGGACATTTGATGTGTCTAAATTTTGTGCTTCATAAATCAGTTTTTAAATAGCTACCTAATGCAATTAAAATTATCCAAACTAGCATGCTTCTGGTAATTTGAAGTTGTGGCATTTGTTGAACTGCTAAATTTTGGTGTGTTTTAATTTGTGTCCATGTCCCATTGAGCATGTACATGTGTACATAATGGTTCATAATGGTGGGTTTTATTTTGGTGAATGGCTATTATCAAAATACCGAATTTACCAAAAATTCCCTCTCCAAAATCACACGTTCAGATATTTATAAATGTAGGTATCTTACAGTATGTGTCATGTATTAACCTTCTCTTTCCTAAGGTTATAGCAAGTTCCTGTTAAAGGTTGGAGTACATTAGGTATGTGTCAATATAATTATATTGTTCTCTGTTCTAGTGTGGGCAGCAATGTAGTGCCGCCTCCACGTGACACTGCCTGGGATCACTAGTGGTTACTACTGCTAGTGATGCTAAGAGCACTACATACAAGAAGAATAGATACTAACAGTAACTATGTATGATGAATTACATTCCATTGTTAGGTTAATGACATTAAGAGGATAAGTACAATTCTCTGCTATTGAAGACTACATTGAGAAGTATTTTAAGTATAGTATTGTTAAATATGTTGTCATTGCTATAGGTTAATTGTTTGCTGTTTGAAGCTGTGCATTAACTGAAGACTATAAAGAATTGCATAACATTATTGTTTATAATTTTATCAT